GTTTAGCTCTTTGGACCCTTTTTCTTGGTTCAAATTTGGCTCAAGTTAGATTTTGACTGAGCTGAAGTTGAACAGTCGACAAATGTATTTGGCTGGTTAAGGGCCCTATCCTCAACCCAACTGTTTTTGGTCAGTAGCCATGTTATTGCAAATAGGGGTGGAACAAGTTAGTTTGAGTTGAAGAATTTGAGCTTCTTTCAAATGATATGACAATATGTCAGGCTTAGGGCTGGGTTTCGGCAAACTTAAACCCAACCCACAATTTCAATCTCAAACTGGACCCCCATAAACCCTGGTGGGTTTAATAATTTCAAATTCTTTTGGACAGTTTAAAAACCCAACCTGAACCCGATGTAATTTTATCTTCCCATTTTATTCTCATTTTATCTTTTTCTTAGCCTCTCCTTTTCCTCCACAACCACCAACTGCAGCAACTTACACTTTTTTAATTAAAACTTAATTTATATTTTTTAATAAAATATATATGTTAACTATATATAATAGAGGTGGGCCAGATCATGATGGATGGCTTTGGGCTCCCAAAGCCAACCTGAACCTGAAACGGAATGGGATAGAGTGGCCCGAATTTATTTGTGTTGCGGGTTTGTTTGCCATCCCTAAGCTTGAGGTGCACTCAAGCTTGACTCTCAAGCTTGACTCAATCTTATTTTGGACAGTAATAACAGCAAAGAAAGCTCAAGCTCTCTTTGTGAATCTCAATATAAACTCTGTCGTACTGTAGGTCTAGCTTGAAGCATTGTTTTAACAGGAGAGGACATATGGAAGCGAGAATAGCAAATTGGCCTGGCAAGCATCAAATTGCAAAGCAGGGCTGAAAATCCCTGAAATTAACAGAGAATGCTTGGAGATTTTTTATATATGTAATCAACCATTACTATAAACAAAGGAAAATAGAGATTCATAGATAATATAGAAGACTTGGAAGTCAAAACTTTGCAAGTACTATATTCAATCTCTTTGAACTGTAAATGATGATAAAAATTTTTTAGTCAAATGCTTGAGGTTGCTGTGGTGATGGAGCCATTGGAGGATACTTCAAACAATAGATGCTTGTGGTTCTCCCTCCTCCAAGATTGAGAGAGCACAGTAGAGAAGTGCAAATGGAAAAAGCATGTAGTGCAAACCAACTGTCAAATTTGAACTTAGGATTGAGGATTATGAGATTGGGAGGTCTAGAGTGAGAAGGTTTTAGATAAATGCTCGAGATGGTGGCGCTGGAGGAGACTTTTTAGATAAAAGAAGATTTATTAGGAAGAAAGAGGACAAATACAATCTCTACTTGGAGAATAAGGGATCCTACCTAATGAACCATAAAAACAAAAAAGAGAAGGAACAAAGTCATAACAAAGTGATACTGCCCTTTGAGTTACAAATAATAGCATCCCAACTATGATGAAGTGCTGAAACACTAGTGTTATGGTAGTGCGGACGTGCTTTAGTCCAAAGGGTAGCCAAAAAGGTAGCTCTGTCCCATAATTCAGGAAAAGATGTATGATAGTTCTTGAATATCTGACGGTTTTGAGAGAGGCATAAACACCATAGCCCAGCAAATGTAGCCCCTTGTCAAAGAGGCTTGGCATTCTTCTTGATCCCTTCTCTAGGATCGAAGGGCCTAAAAGAGTGGCACAATGCGTGGGTCTACCCCGTGTTAGTTCAAAACCAAGTTAGTTCAATCCTCTCATTGTTAGACCTTTTGGAGCCAATTCATCTCTTACCTGGATCCTTGAGCCATCAGGACCTGGCCCAAGGATCCATCAGGGTTGTGTAAATGCAAGTCTTTCTTTGATCACAAGACAAGCAAACCCCTTCTTAATCGATTTCACATTACTAAAATATTTTGAAAAGCTCCGGTTCCAACAGAGATCAAGGTGTTCTCTTGAACTGCCTTTCATCAGAAATTTAACATAAATGATATGCTTCAAGTTTGTGACCACATCAACCCTTATCTCCAAATATATGCTTCATGTTCTTCAGGTGGCAGGAGACCCACTCTCACCTGTTCTACGTTGTGCCACTGGGGGATACTTCAAACAATAGAAGCTCGTGGTGCTACCTCCTCCACCAAGACTGAGAGAACACAGTTGAAAACTGCAAATCTAAAAGCATATTAATACAAACCGACTCAGAGAGAGAGTGGAACGTTTATGAGATGGAGAGGTCTAGAGTAGGAAGGTTATAGGTATAGGTAATCAATCAGCTTTTAGAAATGGAGAGTGGAACGACCATGCTGGAGTTTTGAGAGCTGATGAGTCAGAGAGAGAGATGATGAAGGATTCAAATAGGAAAATAAACTACCAGCGAAATGCCCTGTGGTGGAGGCTGGCAGGTAAAAGACTCAATCTAAGAGAGAAAGTAAATACCCTAAGTGATAAAATTAATTATTTATATTTTGGTATTAAATTAAGACTTAGTATTTATATATATAACAGCATATGTATTATATGTAAATAAATGATATATTATTTATTAAATACACAAACATGTCATTTTTGAGATAAGAATAGTTAAGACTTGAGCTTGTGAGATAAGAATGGTTGAGGCTTCAACTTAGCTGGATAACATGAACAGTTAATGCGGAATGTGTAGGTTCAGATTTTCTCTGCAGATTAGAATTTGATTCTTTTTAAGTATTTAATTTTCTTATCCTTTTTAGTTCTAGATTTTATTAATTTAGTTCATCTGAGAAAAAATTACTTACCAAGCATTATAAATACTTTTGTAATCTCACTTTTAAAGAAGGTTTCAGATATTCAATATAAAGATTTTTTAAAATTTTTTTTTTTTCAAATTTTATGGTTATTTAAATGGGGATGTAATGGAATTCTTAAGTGTAGTGTAAGAATTATTAGGTATGATATGAATCCTAGTCTAATTAATCAAAGTAAATCCTAATTTGTTCTACATCAGCAAGCTTATTCACGGGCTCGAATTTGTTCAAACGTCAGTTTTATCAGGCTTGTGTCAAGCTCTGGATAAATCAAGTCCAGAGAATTTGGTATCCTGCTCAGCTCAGTGCCACCCCTGATTGCAAAGGATTTAGCTGCCTAGATGATATGTGTATATATTTGAAATATAGTTATCATATTTACTTTAGCAGATGGATTAACAAGTCCATTCCCCAGAATTTCTTTAACACATAGAATAACTTTAACATGGATAACTATTTCTGGTGTTACTGAACAAAAGGAAAAAAACTATCCCACACCTCTTACGGGGAAATGCAAAATTAAGTTCATCTTACTTTGGAAGCCTCTAAGTAGAATTATCTATTGCCTTAGGTTAATTAAGCATGCAAGCAGGATTGAACCTTGGTTTTGCGGGGATCTGTAGTAATGAATTTCGGAACCGTTAGTCTGTTTCCTAATCATGTACTTAGAAAGTTGTAAAAATAAATGATTTTTGTTTTTGTTTTCTTGAAAAAATTGTATGATAAAAGAACCTTCATGCGTCTCAAAGTGATTGATAGCTATTCTTAGTTGTACTGGTTATGAATGTTACTCTACTAACAAGCCATATAGAAGACTAAAGAAGTGCGAATAGAGCCTTCCAATTGTATTAGTGATGTATCTGTGATCTGTAGATTGGAGAAACTGTTCACATGGAATCGAAGTACATCTTTTCATAGTAAAGCCTGAGTTCATGACTGTCGTCTACATGGCACATTCCCTTGAATGTAGCTAATTGTTATGTTTGTTAGTTAATTGAATTATTTCAGACTGGCATATCTGGGTTTTCAAACCTGGGTGGTGGGTTTTATAACTAGGCTTAAAGTGTAATGTTTCCGGATTGGGGTTTAGCATTCTTATGTTATCTGCCATCAGAATGGCGCTTATATTAGATGCTTATAATCATGTGGTGAACTCTAGATTGCGTATCTGTTTTACATTCTTGACCTGTTGAATGAAGCAAAATGCAAATAATTGACAGAATTTGCAATTTAACTTCTGATGTAACAGAATTTTTTTTTTTTTTTACATTGCTGCTCTGAAAAGCTAATTATTTGGAACAAATATTGAGCTAATTGGAAATTTCAAGTTAAATTCATTTCTTTTATTTGAATTTTACTTGGCAGTATTTAGAAACTAAATTTTTAATCATCTTTCTACTAGAATATTTCTAAATGAATTCTTTAGAATTCTTGGATTCGTTTAGTACATATCAATTGAGAAACCAACCTTTCAAGAACCTATGTTTATATTTGTTATGGGGAAGATCACTGAAGCAAATGGTGATTTTTGATTTCACAAGATGTTATCTTGGATATTTGACCGCTGCATTCCATTAATTAGTGGGATAGATTATTAATGTTGCTGCTGTTATTGATGAATTTATGATCATATTACATAGATGTAGCACCATGACATTCGGAGGAAAAAGTAAGATATGGAGAAGTCCTTGATGTATTGGGCATCCATGCGTGGTTCACACACCTGGATGGAACTGGGATTTTTTCAAGTGTGGAAGTGTGGGGCCTAAATCAGTTTATTAATTATTATTGATAGTAAAATATACACATCTATGGAGTGAGGAAAAATAAAGGGAACAGAAACAAATAACCTAAGCAGCCAAAAAAGCGGTGGGAATCTTGTTAAGGACATCAAGTGTCATGAGTATCCGAGTCATAGAAAACACTCCGAATTTTTTAAGTACCATAAAATTACATCAAATTTTAAGCAGCATAGTTACATTAACGTAAGAAATGCAGCGCTCTAGTTTTTTTTTTTTTTTGTATTACAATAATAAATAAGTACAATATGGGTTATTTTACAGTTGTAATTTTTTTGACAAAACAATTTCAAATCATGGTTTGTTAAGAACTCTCTTCTTTACAGAAATAGCAAAACTTAATTGTCTTGAACAAGATAAAAAAATTATTTCAAAAATTTAGTTCTTTTATTTGTAACTTAAAAATCAAAGAAAAAATTTCAAGAGATACTTATTAGACTCATTGTTTTGGTTTAAACAAAAACGTTGAGGTTAATATCTAGTGTTACAATTTTTAAACTATGCAAAAAGTAGAATTGTTAAGTTTATTAAGGTCTTGTTATCAAAATTTTTATATAGAAAAATCATAACTAAAATAATTTTATAAATGTAAAGATGAACTTGTAACTACAAAATAATTAAATCTAATAATAATGAGGTGAATACTTGAATGACTGATTTACTTTTATTTAACAACTGAAATAAAGGTCCAAACCATAAACAGATTCGCGGTGTATAGAAAACCCAAACCACATAACATATTCCAGGTCGTTTGCATATTCGCAGAAAAGTTTATCTTAGCACATACGCATAAAATTAAACTGTTTTTAGATTTGATATATAACTATCTCAGAAACAAGTTTTGCTCACTATATAAATATATTTCTTAAGTTGATATGTAATTTATACATCAATTAATTAAAAAAAATATTATAAACTGAGAATAAGATTTGAAGATTTTGTTTAATACTCACGTAAAAATTATTTCTATTTATATTGAATTATTTTACTAAATCGGTATATATTATTTCATGAAGAAAACATACGTATATACAAGAAAGGAATTTTTTTAAAAAACAAACAAATTTTTTATTCCTATAACTATGTGATATCCGGCAACTCCATGGGCAGTCGGGATAAAACCATCATCCTAACTTCGTTCTTTTTCCTCAATGCACATGCTTACTGTTAATACTAATGGGATTAGGTCGTAGTCCTGAAACTCAATTATAATAGTGTGAAAACCCAGATGGAGTATGCATGAAATCAACGCAAAATTCTAACTCGGGTTTCCAACTATTTCTTCATTTTATTGTATTCTTCACTTTTTTCTTTGAAATAATTCTATTCTATTCTTAACTAACGCTTGAAATTATTGCATCTCCAATGTAGTAAACCTACCTACCTCCATGTTTCTTGCAAATCATTCTGTTAATTGAACCTTTCAATGAATCAACCACGTTTCCCGTGCCTCCGCCTACGTCATGTCTCACCTGCAAGGCTCAAGAAAAAACTAGTCAAACAAACTCAAATTCTACAATTTCTGTTGTTAGATACGTGTCTTTGGTACCTGTTTATCAAGTCCACTGGCTGAGATGTACGTTATTACCCAAAAAAATATGAATAAGACACTCATTTACTAACCATCATGACAGCTTGGAACATGTAATACTTTACTTACCTGGACAGCCACAAGTAGAATATATACGACTTGGTTAGTTTTCTCAAGGAATAGGGCCGACAACACTATACAACCCAGTACAAGTCCAGATCTCCAGAAAGAAAGAAACACAACAAACCGCATTAGTCTCAAAATTTGCAGTCAGCGGCAACATAACTGTAGTGAAGTGAAACTGTTAAATCGTACTCATCCTATCTGAGAGACTCTGAATTTATCTAATTTTACAAAATCCAAGACTATTTCTTCATATTTCACGTGTAAGAGTTAGAACACTTCAAAATGCCTTTGCATCCATTTAGCATCTTCAAAATTACGTGATATCATTCAGGGAAATTCCATGTCCATAAAAAATCTCTTATGCATCCTTACATTCTGTCTCTGCTCCTAACTCCTTTCCAATCAAATCCAGTTACATTCGTGCAGATAGAATGATTCATAAAAGAATCTGCACAAGAATCAACCACTGACACTGCACATCTCAGATAAAAAAGCTATTGGTGCTAAACAAAGTGTCGCTATCCATTCATCTTTACCAAACAATAATTTCTAATGATTATCCAAATGGAAATAGAAAAGGTAAATCCTTCAATTATCAGTTGATATTTCTCCTTGGCCGTCATGGTCAGGAATCCCATTGAACCCAATAGATAGTTACAAGCAAAACCAGGAAGGTAAACCTGCCACATAGTTCGTCCACCTATAAGATAAGAACGAACCACTGGGCTACCAGCCTCAGTAGAAAAAAATTACTTCCAGGGAAGCCCACAAAACGGTCGGAAGCTTCTCATGCAGATTAAACATCAACACCAAGCCCAAGGGTTCCAAACAAGGGAAATGAACATGTAGATGACTATTTCTCTTAATCCAGTTTAGGTTTCAATTCCACCTCCTGCCTCAAAACATGGTCCACGAGAAGGCACTAACTGGACAAGAGAGAATGGCAAATGAGTATTAACCCAGCACCAGCTGAAATCTAAGAGGCCACAACAAACAAGG